AAACACTTACCCCGAGCAATATTAATTGCAGAATTCTCCCATTACGCGAGAAGTAACTTCCACATTACGTGCATTCTACCTCCCGTATCTTTACTAACTTGATCGTCGGAGGCGGAGCTCCTACCCCCAGGAGTCTTCGTGATTTTGCAGGCACAAGCGTCGAAGGGCATTCTTGGAATTGTAACTCTCCCGCAGGACACATCAAAAAACCCCGAAACAGGTACAGTTTGATCAAAACGAAAGCATCCATCCTCATCAAAGAAGTGTGACCATTCTTCTGGAATAGTTCTGATAGCAACGGCAAATGACATAAGATTATAATTAACAAAAACATCAAATAAACAAGTATACATTAAATAGTTAAATACAATACCTGGGTGAATCTGTGTCTCTAAAAGAGTCAGGGGCATAGCTGAGATTAATAAGATTTGGCAAAGTTTTGCGTCTGCAATCATCACAGTTTAACAATCAAACTTCGTAGCTAGAGCAATGATTTAGGAGTTACTTTTCCAACATTAAACCATTAGCCTTGGACTACTCATACTAGCAATAATTTAGGAGTCACTTTTCCAGCATTAAACCAATATTCAAACTTCGTACTAATTGAATATTCGTATCCATCAACAACAGATACGAATATTCAATTAGTACTTAATCAGACGTAATTCTATCTACAATTACGTCTGATTAGCAAAAACATAATAATAAGAACATCAACAATGCATACGATTATTCCATTAGTATACTCGTGCTAATCGGCTAGTCTAGCAAAATTAAAGGTAGCATGTTTAATCGATGGATATACAGAGTAATTTGTTAAATATTGTTAAGATTATACAGCAAAACTTAATATTGCAATTGAAGAATAAGAATTATAAAACCCTAACCAATTTGAGTTTTATAAAAACTGCAATCAAAGGGAGTAAATTTGTAACACACACACACACACACAAAAAAAAAAAAAAAAAAAAAAAAAAAAAAAAAAAAAAAAAAAAAAAATTATTAATCCAATTTTGACCTAAACAAACTGCATTCAACGAGCAAACAAACCAAATTACGGGAATAATTTTGTAACCATGGAACAATGAAAAAAGCCCCAATTATGTCCTAAAAATTGCAATCAACCAACCAGCAAGCATAAACAAAAATAAATAAGTAAAGAATTGAAGGATAATCATACAATAAAATTGTAGAAGGTTATAATTTGCATAATTAATTGAAAAAAAGAGAGAAAAAATACTAACAAATTTGAAATTGGAAAATCAAGGTTCGCGATTTCATCGTTGTCAGTGATGTGTTTGAAGAATCGCTTGGCAGCATCGACATCGAACGTCTTCTCAAAGTCCGCAATCTCATCTTCACTCAACCTAACCATCTTTCTTTCTCTTTTAAGTTTTTGGGTTTGTTTGTTAATTTGTGGTGATTGTTTGAGGGAAGGTACTGCTACTGCGCATCAAATAAGTAAATTGTTGCGCGGTTTTTTAGGGTGGCGTGGGCTGCACGCTTGTGAGTTGTGATTTACGTAAATCTCGATTTTCGAAATTATGACTGATTAAGGGCATGTTCGGGAAAATATAGAGGTGAAGATAGCTATTAGCTGTGAGGTAAAAACTAAAAAGATTGATTTAAATATCAACTAGATGAAGCCCGTGCGATGCACGGTTTGTTTAATTTAATTTATTTTTATTTTTATTTTTATTTTTATTTTGTATCCATGAGCTAAAATTTGTTATATATTTAGATAATATTCCTAATATTAAAAGATAAAATTTAATATTAAATTATTTTAAACTTAAAAATCTCATTCGCCAATTTTGCTTACGTGACATTTGAATTATTTAATTCTAAAAGAAATTAATAATCTCTTATTTAATTGGCTATTATTAAGATTTATAATCCTACATGGCGCGCTAAGAAAATTAGATACGTGGCTCTCTAAAAATTCGGGAAAAAACTCCCCTTTATATATATATATATATATATATATATATATATATATATATATATATATATATATATATTTGATTAGATTTGTATATGCACAATAATTTAGCATGATTTAAATTTGAAATATACCTAACTTGGCCCGGTCTGACTTAACTCAACCGAGCTGACTTAGATACTTAAATCAACAACTCTCGGCAAAAAAAAATAGTTAACCCAGGTCCAGCCACCTCTAGGTTTGATTAAAATCAACATCCTTGCATGCATCTAACAACTACCCCCCTCCGTATTTTTTTAAGTGTTACAGTGTGACAGGCACATAGTTTTTAGGCAATTTAATTGACTTAAATGAAATAAGAGGTAAGTGGGATAGTTGGAGTATTTTAAAATTGTAAAAGAAAGATAGTGAAGTTAATAATCAATCAATAACTATATCAATAATAATTATATACTAAAAGACACACCAGCAATGACACGTGTCATTTTCTGGTGTGTCCTTAGTAATTTATTTTTTCTAAAAAATAAATTAGAATAATTTATTTAAGGAAGTTCTTCAAAAAAAAGGTTCATGTTTGTCAACCATATAAATTATCAATGATATTTACCTTTATACTGAAACACAATTAGCAATAGAATAATAAGGAAATAAATAATATTTTTTAAGAGGATGTAATTTTGGTAGAATATTTTGTATGAATATAATCTAAATTAATTATCAATAAACATTTTACAAATTTTCCATGTATACACTTTTATTTTTATTTTTAGAAATCACTACGCTATATGAATGGAAATATTTATCAAAAATATAATCCAGTTATTTAAATGGACTACACTCTTATTGTTCAAATTATTTCTTTTTTAAAAGTTTGAGATAGTACTATTTTTTCTCTCTTCATTTTAGTAACCGAATAGTAATGTATGTAATGAATCAATCTTTCTACATCAACTAATTTCGTATGGACTATTTATATAAAGTAGAAATTAATTAAGATTATATTTTTTTTCTCTTTTTCATAAAACATAATTTAGAGGGATAATTAACCTTATATCTATCTTATTATTTGTACAAGATCATTATTTGCCTCTTTAATTGAGCGTTTCCAAGCAAATATAAGTTCATTTTAATTTTTATTATATAAATTATTAATTTATTTAAGGAAAATATGGAGTAATTAGCGTTTCCAAGCAAATATAAGTTCATTTTAATTTTTATTATATAAATTATTAATTTATTTAAAGAAAATATGGAGTAATTAAAATAACCGTGCATGGCACGGGACCTAATCTAGTTTATTATAAAGTAATGAATGTGAGAGAAAAAATGTAATAAAAAAAACTAGTAGTGAGTTTGGATGGGGACCATGAGAGGTGAGAGATATAATATTTTAATGTAGTTTTTTGCCAAAAATGAAAGTCTAACACTTATTAAAACACGACTGGATTTGGTAAGTGTAACACTTATTCAAACATGGAGGGAGTATACGTAGTTCTCCGTATTTTTTTTGTTCTATTTTAACAATGTGAACATGTTTGTTCCTAAAAATTCAATATGAACAAGTTTGTGTGATTTTTGTAAATGATATGAACATGTGTAACTATATTGGTTTGTACTTGTATTATTCTTATATAAATTAACAGAGTAGCATTAATTCATTAAAGTGTTAAAGCCTGGTCATATTTACTGAAATGTGCTGAACTGAACTGAATTAATTGGAGTTGAACTGAACTAAATAAAGCTGAAATGAATATTTTATAAGAGAAGAAAATTAGGAGCTGAACTAAACTGAACTGATTGAAGGTGAATAGAAATTAAGCTGAAGTGAACAGTCCTTTAATTTGACTTGAATTCTATCAAGTGTGAGGGTATTGATGAAATTTAGTATACATCTATACATGCATCTGGATGCATAGTGCCCTCAATCAACTCAAAGTAATTTTTTTTCTTCATGTAATTGATTAAATGAAAAAGATTTTTTTTCATTCAAAATATTGTTTGGTGCACAGTGCAGCTAGGTGTATATAATAGTCTCTCGAGTACTGATAAAATCCTTGGTTGCACTATGCACTCAGATGTATATATAACTGTAATACCCCTCGTGATTTTGATATATTACTCATAGCAACAAGATGTATCTTCCTTTTAGGGAGTTCATATGTTAAGATACTACATAACAATTAACGATTTTAGATGCATCGACCACCCATCAAGAATCCCAAACCCTACCCACCTCAGTCCAAATCAAGCCCTCTAGATTTCCCTCCGCCGACGAAATCACATTTTAGATCTGATATCCGATTCGTGAATAAAGCTAATCTTTTGTACTTGATTTGATCTATTTATTCTATTAATCGAGACAATCATTATACCACCATTTTCACAAGTTATACTATCAAATTACTATAATTGAATAAGATTATGGCCGGAGCTAGTGTTCTATGTTGTGGGTTAGGCTGGGCTGGTCCGGCAGTAGCCGACAACAAGGTTCGACTGTGGCTGGGTTTTATGGCAGTGAGGTCTAGCAAAGAAGGGTGTTCCGGGAAGAAAATGGGGTTCCGGCAGGGAAATAAAGGGGAAAGAGAAATGTTTTTTTTTTCAAAAAAAAAATTCTTATTATTTCATAAAAATTATTAAAAACAACCAATTAGAAGGTAACACGTGGCAAATTACCTTCTAAAACATGTTACCAAATTTATAAACCTACAAAAGGCTCATTTTAAGAATATAGGGTATAAAGGTGGGATTCTTTCCCTCAAATTTCGAAGAAATAAGAATGTTTCAAGTAAAAGTGGACAAAGATGGAATTATTAGTTTCCATTTTTCCATTTAAAATTAGTTTTTTAAGAGGTACCACAAAATTGTTTTAGAAGCTTTTCCGACCTTTAATGGTTGGATAGGTTAATATACCAGTATTACCATATTTCCACATGCATGTTATATAATTTTAAAAGGTTACTAGATAGACATTTACCGTAATAAGACTTATGTCTAGTGAGATTTGATTTTTTATTTTGTATATTTTTCTTCACCAAATAAAAAAATAAGAGAGCGCAAATGTGCAAAGAGAAGTATATACAAATTACAACCACCTTCATAATCATTAGAAAGGCGTTCATTACTGTAGCCTGTAGGTCACAAGGGATACATATACTACATACAACAATAGATTAAAAATTATATCAACACCAAAATCCTAACAAAATTGAGCCTGGTAAAAATCATGACGCCAGTTTACGGATGGTCAATTCCTTAAGTGAGGTTACTAATCTGCCAAACACCTTGAGACTCTGTCCAATCTTATCCTGCACCAAGAGAAGAAAAACCAATTCATGCGAGGTGAATTTTTTTAGTAGTAGTCCCTTATGTTTCCTATTTTCTTAATTTAGGTGTCAATAGGCGCACCATTATTTGAACATAGTTTGACAGCACCATAATTCAACTATAAATCACTTATATACAAAACAGTTTGGCAGTTTCCCAATTAGATTTCCAGCAAAATAGACAAAGCTCAAAAGCATCAAGCAAGAATCTAAACTCAAAGCTCATACTTTGCAAAATGCTCAATAAAGACTCATCTATACCTTAACAGAGTGAGATGCTAATAATAATCTTTTATGCTGCAAGACTATCACAACTGCTAAACACTCTGATAATTCGCATGCAAGATATCACTTGGATGATCAGGCAACGGTACTATAAAGATAACAGCAAGTTTACCTCGTTTAGCAATTCCAATCTTTCTAGGATGGGAAGTAACTTTCCACATAAGGACGATAGATCCTGTTTAGACTCCACATCTGATGTACATGTAATCAGCTTTGTAGTGTCATTCGTTCCAGCCATCAAAGAACTGTCATAAATAAAGCCAGAACACATCACTTAGTCAAGAAAGTACAATACAATAAAAGAAGGGATATGAGAGGAATCATACGTGTCCTGGAAATGAGCAAGGATCACATTCAGCACATTCTCTGCCAGTAGAAGCAATAGAGTGACCAGCTGATCTCGGTCACCAACTATTTGACACATCTCCACCATTGCAATATAACGTCTGCAGAAACAGAAAGTAAGGTGAGAAAGCTTCAATCATGGACATTACCTGTTCTTGTTCCCACCAAGTATGGAAAGATTTTTGATAGGGGGTGGGTGGGGGGAAGAGGGGGGAGTGCAGAATTTTTCAAAAATAAAAGATTGAAGTCAGTGATACAAAGATGTGTGAAAACAAGCCTAGAACAAAATAAGCACATAATGAAATGAAAAGAAATAGAATACTATCTTGGGAGTATTTAACATCTAGTATTGTATTACTTCTGGCCTCCTGGGTCACCAATATGCATCCTAGAAAACAATTGACAGTGCAGCTCCTTTATATTCACAATAAAATAAAATAATACTACCTCCGTTTCTTTTTAGTTGACATGTATTCCTTTTTAGGAAGTTTTTTTTTAGTTGACACATTTCTTTTTGGGATAACTTTTTTACCTTGCATTTACAAGCTACTCCACTTGCTTTTTTATTCTCTCTCACTCTCTCTCCTCTCCTTAATATATGTGCCTAAATCAACACGTCAACTAAATAGAAACGGAGGAAGTAATAAATAAAGTTATTATTATTATTATTATTATTATTATTATTATTATTATTATTATTATTATTATTATTATTATTATTATTATTAATAATAATAATTTTTTTTAAAAAACCTTATTTAGATAACCATTTCCTGATATGTTCAATACACATTCATTTTTTACATGAATATCATACACAAATGCTCATATTGCTTGCTACACAGATGGGTTGCTCACATATAGCCTGAACAATAGAGCTTTGACGTCATTGATAAACAAGAGGCAAACCCAGACTAAGCCAACAGGTATGTCAGTGTGTGAAAAGCAGGGCTCTTTCGGTCCAAAATATAGTTTCCAGGAAAGCTACGAGTTGACTCTAAGTAGAAAACTCATAGGGCACAAGTAAAATAACAAATTCTAAAGAGAACATGTAGACTGTGTGATCTAGAATGGTATGGGAAGAATAGAATAAAGCAGTACACTTTTTTTAACTCCGAAGATTAAAATTCTATACTCCTTCAATTATAAAAAGTCTGACTCAGTTCTCGTTTTTTTTTAGAAAGTTCAACTCAAATTAACTTAGTTCTACTCTTGGAAATCCCATATTACCATGATTACACCCTTCCACCAACTTTTTATCCACATTCTTTTTACTCCATTCTCAATTTAGTTTATCCACCTTTTCTTACACCTACTTACAATTTTCAACTTTCTTAATAACTAGACTACAAGAATCTATAGTAAGTTGAACTTTTAGAAATGGAGGGAGTGTACTAAGATAGCATATAATTTCATCTTGCAGGTCCCAAGTTCAACCATTTCAATAGCTACCTTGTGTTTGTATTGTCTGATGTTGAAACACGAGTCTTCTCTGTATAGGTATTGATTATGCCATCCACTTCTTGTCTAGATAGCTCATTTATATCTTGAATCTGAAAATCAGCACAAGTCAAACAGAACAGCTTAATTAAATTTCAAAGGGGAGATTAGAAAAATTAGGAATCAAAGCAAGGCAAAGTATATGTTTCTACCTTGTTAAGCAACAGAGACTTCTCATCCGCAGCCCTTTCTAGGGCACTGGTTACAGTGTTGAGAAAATGGCCAAGCAGTGCTAATGTTGGTTGCTGCTTTCCACCAAATTTGTGGTATGCTGATTGATCATCTGAAACCTTTTTTTTTTTTGTGTTGGGGGGTTGGGGGGGGGTGATGGGGAAGATTTAGAGAAGTTAGAGATAATTAACAGACTACTGCACAACGATTCTTACATTTTTAGCATATGGTAATGAAAGCAAGATTTATGTCTACCTGCAACCTAAGGGATTTCTTCGTCACTTGGAAATAAAGGTATGAACTGAGTCTGAAGCCTATATGATATTTCTTTAGTTCCGACCTCCTTTGGTTCTGAAAGAAAATTATAAATAAACAACAAATGTAACATCAGAAATGACTCGACTGCATGAAAATTTACGAAAATAGCAAAAACTACTCCATGGCAAAGCTTCAGATCAAGTCAGAAAGAACATATACCAAAGGAGACAGCCCAGGAGAGACAGAAGAAAATGATTCAGAGTCCTGAGAGAACATATCACACATCATCCTAAAAAGGCCTTGAACAAATCCAAACTCATCATTCTCCTCATAAGGCCAGACCTGTTTAATTTATAGAAAAATTATTTGCGAGATTCCATCATATGTCAAAGCAAAATCAAGAAACATCAAATTTCAATATAAATAAATACAGAAATCCCACGACTTTCGCAAGGAACAAGACAAAGGATATACAACAAAACGTGGGGAATGGGTGGGGGGGGGGGGGGGAGGAACGTGGGGAATGGGTGGAAGAGGGGGGGGGGGGATCCTGTGCAGCAAGTATTTTGAGCATTGCAAATATGACATAGTGGTTCATCTTATTGACAAATCACTTTCAAAACTAGATATTATTGTCAAGGGCAATACCCTCCTGACTCCATTCTCCACATAAAAAAATGCACCCACGCTGTTAAGTCGATTTTGCATTCAATAACATAAAGTAAAAACACTCAAAGAACAAAAGCATAATAAATGACACAATGGGCATGACAGTAGCAAAGATACAATTATTTTGACATGAGGAAGCGTCAATCAAAACAAAAGCATCAATTAAGAATTGGTTATTTTGCAACACTAATAAAAAAGTGCAACCTTTCGTTTGTTACATACGTATATAGTAGTCAAGCCAAAGACCATACAAAAATAAAAAGTTGTCAAATGTTACAGGAATATTATACACACCACTACAAGTAAAATTTTGAAGTAAGAACGCAACTTTGTTCTGATTCGTAGTGCTAAGACATTTTAGAGAAGCAACAATTGTCAAAAGAGAGAATTGTACCTTACTTAATATGCCAACAGAAAGATTAATAAGCTCCATCATCAAGTCATCAACTTCAAAAATGTTTTCTTGCAAAGCCCGGTCAAACAGAGAAGGATGGGCTTTTACAAACTCGATAGCCTCACGAACAATTTTATTTTTCACCTATCAGAAGAGGGGGAAAAAAAGAGACAAGATAAATCTTCTGCGTTGGCATATTTTCTGAAATTTCACCGCTTATCAATTACCTACACGGCTACTCACACCAGTTTAGAAAATACTCATCAAAAACCAAGGGCAACAAGCACAATTTTGCAAAGATATGAAAAACCACTTGAAAAATACATTAACCAAGGCAGAAAATAAATGACCCAGCTTTACTAAAGGAAACACATGATAAGGACTAGCTGTGGCCTGGTGTTGGCCGACAGATTGGCAATATATTAGCTCCATTATAAATTGCGAATGAGGTCTGATTATATTCAACAGCCAATAAGGCAATAAGTAATATTTCTACATTAGACCAAATGAGATCATTGGCACTTCAAGCAGATCTATACAATGCATAAAACAACCGCAAATTAGGTTAATAACTACTCCCATCAACGCAAAATAAGTGTCGGCCTGTAGCACACATTAAGCAATGTCTGTAAGAGATTAAATTTTCAACTTTTACACTATCATCAACCAACTTTATAGTCTAGACTCTAGATCAGAAAAATATAAGTGCTACAGCTTAGTCTGGATAATACTTAGTTGGATTTTTAATTGTATAGCAATCAGTAGACCAGCATGACTATCGACCAAATGCCTCAAAAAAGAAGTTCTAAGAAACATGACCATATTGACAAACCTCGAAGAATTCAGATGCGTCAACCAATGAAGTCAGAGATAACACCAATCTCAATACTGGAGCAACAATCACTTGCTGCTTGTCAGCGTTTGCAGGCAGTTCTCTTCCGAACCTAGTTTCTGCCCGCCTTAAGCTTCCCTAACACACAAATATTCCAGCCTTCCAGGTATAAAAAAAAAATTCAAAAAAAATAAAATAATCAAACAGTAATCAGAAATGAAGATACCTTCAGGGGCATATATAGTGCTTTGCAAGATGCCAAATTCTCCAAGGTACCCATGGAGGACAAAACCTGAGCTCCAGCCTTTCCATATTTATGACTGATTCTTAACACCAAAGCAAGTTCAGCCTCAAGTGTACAGGCTCTCTGCAAAGTCTCCATAGTACGCCGGACATCCTACAATAAAAGTGCAACAAAAAGAATTATATGTGCATGTCCGTAAAAAAAGTAACATACAAGAAACAGCTCTCTGTCAGATGTATAGACATGGCGGATATCAACCAGGAATATACTTAATATATTCATAAAACCAAAATCATAAAAGGTAATTATATGAAATATACAGCTAGCAAGTTACAGAGCTCATACTCTTAACTACCTAAGTAAATTTACAAATAAGAATAAGGAAAAGAACAAATTTGTCCAAAGAGGGACCCAGATTCAGCCAAGTATCCACCAAACGTAATGTATGAATCTGCTTAGAACCTAAGGTCACTCCATACTATTTTCATTATCATAGGTAAGAAGCTTAATGGCAACCATTTTGAAAATACACAGGATCATAGATATGAAGTCCATGGCACAGATAAAAAATTTCATATACAAATAAACATAAAACTTCCAATCTTATCTTGTTATTATACAAGTTCTCCGGAAAAATCTATAAGCTTTTTCCTCAAAATTAATACCATTAGCTGGATATGGCAGAACATAGACCTATATAAGTTATACTTTATAAGTAGTTTGGAGTGATATACATCTTTAGCAATTATCTTAATTGCTGCTTTTAATATTTCTAACAAATAATATTTCTTATTTTCGCTTTTCAAGTTCAGAGTGAGTTCATGGTCCATGCCATATAGTAGCCAAAACAGCAAAAAATAGAATTACAAACCTGATGAGAAAAGTTGCTGATGCTCATCAAGCAAGACCTCAGGAAACCTCTACTCTGAAGTTGGTTCAGGAAAAACTTCTCATGATCGATACATATTAGTGCATCAAGAACAAAATGTGATATAGTCTTCCCAGATTCACTGCCTTGGGTTGCATCTTTTATCACCTGCAGAGGAGGTTAACAGATATAGATCCATAATCAGCTAGTGATCCAATGCACTCAATCAAAACTCAGCAGTATACCAAATACACAAATTCGCTAAACAAGTTCCTTTATATTTGGTACCAATACCATATAATAAACGTTGCACCGTCTACAAAAATATCTACTTTTACTCTCCATCGTATAAAAACAATATTAAAAAAAAAAAAACTCATTACTTTCATTTGTTTCTAATTCACATCTCTCCTAAAACAAGTCTTTATTCCCATAAGGATGGGGTTGGATACTTAAGCCATAAATATACTTCCTCCGGCTTTTTATACTTGCAACAATGAAAGTTTTACTATTACCCTTATTCAAACTCGTGGCCCACTTGACTATACTCTTAACACTCTCTCAACCCCATTTTAAGTGTATTAAATCATGTAAGACCCACTTTTCTTAAATACCACTTGTGTGTTGCAAGTATTAAAAGATGAAGTAAATACATATTGTGGTCATCTACAAAGATTTTCTTCCTCCATACCCTTCTTTCCAAGGTTACATGCTCCTGCACGCCCACTGCCTATTTTTCTAGTGCCACTGTTGACTTTTGCCATCCAAGTCATCTATGGCCACCCACATATTCTTTTGAAATCACTATTATCCCAACCCTTTACCTTCCTTACCATTATAAATATAGAGTAGACATTTTACAAGCCCAAACCAACGCAATACTCCTATTACCCTCAATATCAACAACTTCAACTTTGCTCTGAATATTTACACTCCTAGCTTTATCCCTCATATCAATCTCAAGATACTTAAATATGCTACACTCCATCTTTTTACTAAGTCTCCACCACACAATGCCAGTCTGAATTTATTTATAATCTTAAAGCCACACTAAGATTGCACAATAAGCCATTCACTGCTCTCAATTTGAACCACACAGACATTGTATCCCACCTCAATTATATAATTACCCACAGCCTACAATTACTTTTTCTGTATTCCCTTTATTAAACTACCACTTTTAAAACCCTACGTCAAAAGTACTCTCCAGTTGATACACTATTGTTCTACCTTTGATACTTATTAATGATTAAGGCATTCTCCAGAGATAAGCTTATTAGGAAAACCTGGCCATCCTGATGCCTTCTTTAGTAATAACCTCAAGACACACCAAAAGAATCCATCAATCTTCTATAGCCAAGTTTTAATCAATTGACATGTGGTCCCTTTTTCATTATTATCCGAGAAAATGAAAGATAGAGAAGCAAAGAACCTTGACATCTTCATAACAAATACATCACTCTTCACATGACAGTTCAGATTAAACCGGTGGTAAAGAAAGTGAAAAGTGACAATGACAGATGTGCAGTCGGCTGATTCAATGCAAGACAATGTGAGTACAAAGCAGCGTGACTTTAAATAAATATAAAACTTTGTCGCATAACCCATTTTTTTCAATTGCACTTCTTACAAAATTAAAAATTGTGAAAAAGGACCTTTTAAGTGAAAACTTGTGAAAAAGGACCTTTTAAGTTGTATTTTGTTTATATGGGGTACTTGGGCGAGCCTGCGACTTTACGTGGTGGTCAATGCAGGAGCTCCGACGTTGACTATCACGTGTTAGTCACGTGACTTTTTTTTGTTTAAAAAAAACCCCAAATTTCCCTCCTTTCCCGACCTAATCAATGAAAGAGTTAGGTCAGGAAAGGAGGGAAATTTGGGATTTTTTTGTTTAAAAAAAAAAATCACGTGACTAACACGTGATAGTCAACGCCGCAGCTCCCAGCATTGACCACCACGGAAGGTCACCCAAGTACCCCATACAAACAAAATGCAACTTAAAAGGTCCTTTTTCACAAGTTTTAACTTAAAAGGTCCTTTTTCAAAAAGCCGACCACTTAAAAAGTCATTTTTCACAATTTTCTCTTAAAATAACTCCTTGTCATTCACTTTAAAACCACTATTTTGAGAAAAGTTACATCGATCTCTTTAGAACTAAGGGAGTAAATTTAAGCCCATATCTTCAAGGGTAAATAAAAAACGTACTACACACACACACACACACACACACAAACACACACACACATAAAGTACACAATTTAATACACCATACTGAATCAATAACATCCTGTGAAGTTCATCCCAATTTCTTGTACCTTGTTTTAATTTAACAAGTCAAACAGTCCATTTATATACTTGTATATATTCAGCATTATTATATTTGAAAGAGCAAGAATAAAAAGATCAGCCACAAGACTGTATGACTATGATTGGCTATGATATAATGAAGAACCCACCAAATCTAGAATAGCTTGAGCTTCTTTCCGCAATATAGAGAAATTTGACCGTGCCAGTTCTTCTTGCTCTTTGTCAATCTGAAAAAACACGACATTCAGGACAATACCCATATAAAACATATTCGATCATCATTTGCTATCTCAAAGACATGACTCAGATAATAATCATGTGTCACCTTTTCAAGGTCCATATCTTCACTGTCCTGATTGGTACCAAGTAGTAATTGCAGCATCCTCTTAGGTACATCTGGATCAAGCACATGTTGACAGTACTGGAAATAGCTCAAAAGCAATGCATACTGCCTGAATTTCATGTTTAAAAAAAGAATAATCACAATCACAGCAAGCATAGCAACCACAAAAATAGCATCACCCACCGGAAAAATTACATACCTTCTTCTCAAGGCTTCTGATGAGTCATGTCTCAGAAGTGCCAGAGTAAGTTTAAATAATATAGAGAGACAAGCCCCATTTGATAATTGTTTAAACATTATAGCATCAAGGCAAGTTACAGCATCTGAATTTAAACCAGCAGGATATAAATATCTATCATCTCGCAGCTTGGCCATACATGTAAGAGCAACCTAAGAATCAGTGTAGTGGAAAAATTATCATCAATATGATCTAAATTTCCTTAAGAAATACATGGATTTACATATGAACTTAAGGGATTTAGGCATTTAGCATGAATTATTATACTCCAAACTAAGGATACCTGAGTTAACAATAGTGCCATCTTTAGAGAACAGTCGGGTGAAGCAGAAGCACTGATAGAGGCATCAAGCAATCTGCCAATACCAATAGCTCAATAAGAAATACAATATACCCATTAGGAAAATGTACACAAATCAAGCAGGCTTCCTTACTGAAACAAGACTTCAGTTCTATTTTCAAGGGATGACAATCTTCTTGAAGCAGAAATCTACAAGACAAAAATATCATTAAAACCAATATTCAAGGAGATAAAACAGCAGTTGTCAGCATATTAAGAAAAATATACTCCCTCCATTCCTTAAGAAGTTCATTTAAGAGTATACACATAAAATAGAGAGTTTTGTCATAGCATTGTCATTGAAAACTGCCAAGTAGAATGGAGTATTAAACTTTCATACACGCTATATAGAATTGGACATCTATGTGACAAAGGAATATCAGTTGAATTGACAGATTCCTAATAAAATATCATATAAACAACATAGGAGAAGAGGAGGGGGGGGGGGAATGACCTCAACAATCTGGGACCAGCCGGTTAGCATATGAAGTTGGGCAGCCTGTTCCTCCAGATTTCTGTTGTACTTCCAAGCCCATCTAAGCAATTGTTGAACCATCTCTCGCAAGTCATTAAGCTCTAGTTCATTGCCAAAGGAACTCATCTGGCATACCAAAAAAAAAATTGCACATTTGAAAAGGGCATAAAAAGAACAAACGAGAGGCTGAAACAGGTCTCAAATGATTATTTAACACATGCACAAAAACCATGTGTGTGCCCTCACGCTGTCACACACCTGCCAAAGTTTGTCTCGGAATGATGTAAGATTGATTAGACGATCACCTCGCTCTGAGTAATAGTATACACCATCCTTCTCAGAGACAGAACTTCGAAGAATTTCTTCGGCCTACAGGATAATAGTTACAAGTAATACACCTCAATCTTATAATAACTGAGCAGATGTTGTGATGAAAAAGCTACTATCAGTTACAACACTTACTAGCATGCTACATTTTGTATTAGATACGACTTGTGAATAGTCCAGAGTGGCCTCAGGAGCTCTAAATTGAATGATATCAAGCAGCTCTAATGCCTGACAATGTATAGGATACAATTAGATGTACACAACATGAAGTAATAGAAAAGCAATCTTAATTTCAGATAAGGGAATTTTTCATTGACGGGATTGAAAGAATGGTGCAATCTTAAGAGAACAAAGAGTACCCTAAAAAAATGGTTATGCAAGAACCACGCAAGCCAATCAAACTGGTATCACTAAAGCTTAGACAAGGAATCACGCGGCATACCCACTGGAAGCATAACAATGACGCAAAAAACACCACTCTACCCACAGACCCCCCAACTAGAAGATAGATCTGCTCCTAAATATTAGGATCAGTTTCTGTCCCCTCTCAACTCTCAAGGAACATACACACAAATAACCTGCCACAGAGATTTACAATATGCTTCCCATCCTCCCATAACCAAACTAAAAAACCTAGAGACTAGAGAGGCTTCAAAAGAGACCTTAAAGGTTTGCGCACACACACACACTTAACTGATCAACGTTATAGAAAATAACCTATTCCACACATAGAATGCCAGCTTAAAGCACAAACTAATGGCTCCCACATCGCTTACAACGAAGGCAAAGAGCACATAATTAACATATTGGTTCCCCACTTTCTGCAAATCATTTAATAGTTTCAAGCGTATCCACATATGAAGTTGTAATTGGAAAGAGGAAAGGGAGTAGCAAGAGGCTTGTGCAGTAGCTAGACTAGTAACAGCATCCCATCCTTCTAAAGAGTGAAGACCAGATCAGATCACTTGATGCCAAAGGGATTCCAGTATTAAAAGATTCTGCCATAGCATTCAACCACCTAAAACATTCTTAGACAATAAACACCAAACTTCTGGGCTACAGCTCATACTCGGCCAGTTTGGTGATCTTCATGTCTTCCCCATTTGAATTAATCTTTTTAAATTTCAAAAAATAAAGGTTTTCTAAACTTAAGAAACTAAGTAGAGCTCTTAACTCTCGTATTATTTTTTTAGTATCATACTTTACCTACATAATGAATTAACAGAGCAGACAACAAAAACAGTTGAGCATAATACAGACCAATTGTAATACACCAAGCACACAAATGGCACATGCCCATACCTTGCTTTTACTGATTGTTCCAGTCCCAGTATTATCTCTGTTTTGCAAAGCAAAGGAAGAAGCAATATCATGATCACCCTCCAGTTCGTTCATTTCTTGCCCAAACATATAGACAAGGATCTTTCGGCATGTTTCTCTATGGCTAGAATCAGTCATATCGCCAGAATGCAGCTCGACAGTCAGAAGCTTCAACAGCCAAGCTCTCTGCAAAAAGGTGACAAAGACTTACAAACAATGCACATAACTTCGTCGGAAAATAATAACAATTTTTTATTTTAAAAAAAAAGAATACCACTTCCATCAGGAAATTTAAAACTCATTGTTCTATAGTTAGACGTCTAAAAATAACAAAGAAATTATCTTTCTTTTTTACAAGGTAAGAGTAACACAAATTTCTATTAATAGAAGTAACATATAACACACAAAATGGCCAACCTATGTTGAAAAGTACTTTGACACTGAGACTTATCCTTCCTTGTTCAAAGATTCTACTTCCCTTCCCATACAGATAAAGCAGTAGTTCTTCAATAAAATAGAAGCACACGAGGAAACTAGGTAAACTTCAAAAGGAAAACATCAATCATATGGTTTACAGGGTTAAAACCTGATGAAGTGAGCTCGTTCGTAAAGCCTGGGCACTGTTCCGTTTAGGCAGCGGAGCAATGCCAATCGTCTCCAAATGCTGCATATGTTAAAAAGATGCTTACCAATACCAAAATGTAATATTTTGCTGAGCAGCCTTGAATAAAGAAAACGGAAAGAAACTTTGAATGGATACCTTGACAAAGAAATGATATCTCTTATTACTCAATAGATCCATCATTGGACCTGATGTAAGTTCATCAACACATAACTCATAAAGAAGCTGCAGAAAATCATTTAAGTTAAAAATAAATCAAACAAGGAAAAAAAATAGGTCAGGGATTTAAGCAATGCACTCAAGAACTCTTTATCATGGTAAAATATACCACTTTCAAAAGGTAGCAAGTATTTTTTGACAAAGCATCAGGGTAATTTCATGAATTAGTCCTATAATGCTGCTAATGTCTCAAGACTAGTGTTTGGTACTTTGTAGCTATCTAAATTAAAAGCTAACCTGAAATTCAAACTCATGAAGCAATGCATTTACATCCGGCTTCAAAAGTTTATCCAACATATCAAGAATAACCTTTAAGCAACTGTGTATCACAAATCAGTACAGAGATGAGAAAACTAATAAGAACTGAACAATCAATACAATGGATTCACATAAACCTAAAGTACCATACCTGTAATTAAATCTTGGCTGTAAGACCGTATGCTCAATCGGGGTATCTAGATCAAATTTAAGTAGCAAATGAGTCACATTTGGCGCTGGCCTGCTGATATTGTCAATTAGAAGCTGTAAAAAAAATGAGATGATATCAATAGAAAGCCACATAACGAATTTTTACAATAATATTAACAATTCACTAACAATACTCTAGCACCTGGAGTATAAGCACACCCAGATCATCACTGCTATTATCCACAATCTGGCTTTCTTGTGCACGTATCTCCAGGCACGAAGCATAATCCTCTACCAAAGAGCTTGCGGCATTAGATTTCAGCAATAACTGGACAAGCCCAACCATACGAGAGCTGGCAAAGATAAGGACAGTAGACATGACTTAGTTTCCATTTTAAGTACATTGAATATATAATAAAATAATCCACTAGCAGCATTCACTAATGTTTAAGAACGTTTATCAGTTATAGCTGTAAACAGGCTCAAAAACAATATTCAAAACTTTTACAGATTAAAGAATATCGAGGCAGAATGATACATAAAATGGATACCTCAAAGAGCTCATGATTTTGATTGAGCATTGTTGAATAAGTGGCTGTAGATCATATCTCACATACTCTAACAAAGCTACAATTTGATTATGATCTTGTGAAAGAATCACATCCAAAGGCTGTCAACAGAGAGACAAGGTGCTTTAGATCAGTAAAGACAGGAATATTTTAGGCAATTTCTACATGCAACAAGCCCAAACAATGCACACTTCTCACAGAAATACAAATATTTTAAAGCCAGAACACTTATTGGAAAGTAATCAGCTTTCTACCAAATATACATTTCCTAACATCACAGACATAATATAAAGAAGAATGAGGCACGAGGGAAAAGAGACATGCAAAAAAAGATACTGAACCCTGGATAACTGGAAAAGTAGCCCGCTTAGACAGCCCATTTATTTTGTTAATAAAATAAGAAAAAAAAAATACTTCGCATTAAAATAAAGGTTACTAGTAGATTATTCTCCCTACAAAAGAATACAATAACTATCATGACCAAGCCCATTATTTGCAATTTTTTGGGCGCCCGCGCACACACACACACACACAAAGGCAAGGTTACCATCATTGTTAGGGTTTAGGGCGAAGAGAGATTTACAAGGACCAGCCTCACCTGTAACTAGTAACGGGGGCTTAATAGAGAGTTTGCTATGGAAAACAATGATACAAAAGGTGAAATATCTTACTGTCTAAAATAATTATGGAAGGAAAGAAAGCAAGAAATTAAATAACAAACAAAAAAAATAGAATAAGACAACAAATTATGTGGTAGCACAGTTCCCTGAGTAGACAAACCATATTAATCACCTGATAAAGAGGGTGCCAATAATCGGCAAGCTGTATGTCCTTGCCTAAAATAAGAAATATAATCTCCAGAGACAAATTAACTGCTTTCTCCAAAAGGTCCCCATATATTTGGCTAGTGCGTTCAGTGATGATAGCATTAACCCCGGGTGAGAGAATACCCATGATGTTTCTAAATACTGTCTTGCCACTCATGAAGTCCTACAAAAATAACACAGAGAAGATATATAAGTCAGAGATACCATTAAAATGTACGCACTAAACATCATCACTTTCAACTGACAAGGTAGCAAGTAACTTACGATTCACCGGGATTTCACAGTACAAGAAATCGCCAATAGGGTTTTTCATCCATATCTAGAACAGTAATAACAAACTATGCCAACTAACAAGTCAAAATAGCCTTACATATTAATCAATCAGGAGTTTCAACATGTCACATACTCTTAACAAATATTATCACTTGGCAAAAAATATTGAACATGTCAAGTATTTATTAGGAAATTGGGGTTCCTGGCCTTAATTTAGTATAGAGCTGCAAAATTTCCATCGTTTCAACATTATGTTCAACTTTCAAAAAACTTTTCAAATTAAAGTAAATCAAAACAATACTGGCCGTCCACCATAGAAATAAACCTTAACATCGAAATAATGAAAAAACATGAAATCAAAACAGTTTGCACACCTTCATTAGCTCAACCACAGGAAGATGCAGTTGGTGTTGAGCAGGCTGCTGAACTGTAGAGAGCTGAGATCGGTCCGCAACACTCTCGATATCCTCAATTGTTATCTCATATGTAGTTAGTATCCTGCAGAGAGAAACCATTACTTAATACTGTGTATATATTACCCATCAAAAATCTAAAGAAATTTGATACTTCCTCTGTTCCTCAAACAATGCACCACTGGGGAAGTGAATAAAATTTTAGGCAGTGGGAAAAGAAAGGAAGAGAAAAAAGAAAAATAAACTTGCCCATGTGATTGCAAGCATAAACTAAAGCAACAAGCATTAAGATGTAAGGTCATATTGGGTATTTGTGAGTAAAAAGAGATATTCCCTTGGTTTTAAAAAGCGCGCCTCACTCCCAGGCTCTGGGAAATGGGCTTTAGCTAGGTGAGGCTCAGTCACCTACGGAAGGGGCGCGCCTCGTGCGCCTCAAAGTGCCTTTAGTAAGGTGCGCCTTTGCGCCTCAAGGAAAATAACTAAGATTTACGTTATAAATTGAAGAATGATGGACATTTATTCAAATTCAGACTACACCTTAGCTTTAAATATATCATTACTTAGTTTATTATGAATCTTTTCAATTTTTATTAAGTACTATCAAAGTAAAAAATAATTTGAAATAAATATATAAATACATGCGCCTTGCATGCAAAAGGCGCACGCCTTCGCCTTGCGCCTAGGCTGCAAGGACCATTTGCGCCTTGGTGCGCCGTGCGCTTTTTAAAACTAAGGATATTTCATATTTGTTATCCTAAAATTAGTTGTCAAACTTCCTTCAGACAAATGGTGCAATATTATGGGAGTGGATGAAGTAATAAAAAAAATTATTTAAAAAATCAAATACATAGCTACAAAGTGTTCTCACAGAAAAATATCACCTTTGTTACACAATAGATACAAACACTTTGACTTTTTTCCCTAGTCAACACTTTGACTTTTTGCTCTACTCATTAATAAACTTTGTCTACACTTTCATGTATATATAAAACTTTTAAAAATTAATTATTAATTGACGTGTATACAAAATTTAATGGTTAAAGAATTGTGCTGGAAAGTAAAAAGGTCAAAAGAGTGCATCTATTATGAAACCGAGGCAGTATGAATGAAGTAAACATGCATAAATAAAGGTCTTATAAGTGAGGATTTAAAAGGAATATTTAGTATACGAAACTCACATTCGAAAATGATGAAGACAAGCAACTACCAACTGCCACTTTTCAGATAGATCGGCATAGGCCCTTTGTGGAAAAGGCCCAAAGACCTGATCATAAATGAATCTGAATATACCAACGAACCTGCAGACAGTAACAATCAACCAATGCGTAAATCTAAAAAGATATATTGACTTGACCATTCCAGGTTAAGAGCAGCACACTATTTGCCAAACAAGGGTAGAAACGCAATTACCTACGACCTCCATCACTAAAATCTTTTTCTTCAGCAATCAGAGCATTCAATAGTTTAATAAATGAAATTGTGGAGGGGTAATATTCTCTCCTTGCCTCAATTTCATTTAACTCAAACTGCATATCATACACCTGCAAATGACAATTACATTTTTAATCAATTCTACAATAATAGAAGCTGTCAGTCTTACCAAAAATCCAGTCAAAAGAAATAGAAAAATTGATCAAAACGCTTCACACAAGAAATTGAAATGGGAAGGAATCATATCCATTCAATTTTTAATCAAGAGCCACTACGGAATACATGCAATTCACTTTTGTGCATATTTTTTAGGCCTGATATACAGACTGGTTTTGGGAAGGAAAACTGAAATAAGGGGTATTAAGTGACATTTGTGACCTGAAAAAATATCGCAAAAGACCTTGACTCTTTATGATTTTATTTTATTTCCAATTGGACCTATTATGTGTCATCTAGCCCACCTTTGTAATTTTCATGCAGTAAAATTCTTACTCTCTTAAAGAAAACATGTGAAGGGAATGATGTCCAACATGTGGTAGTCAAATAACATGAAAGAAAAACACAGCGGGGGTTGTACATAGAAAAGTCTGTTTCTTTAGATTGTTTCATCCATTTAGTTAGTCTTTCATAATATTAATCACCGTGGATAGACGTGTATTTGATGACTTGAAGGGATACTGCATTTTTTCCTTCACTAAGTTTGATGCTTTAATAGGCAAGTAGATTATAAGGGAACACCAGAGGGGTGGTCAACCCTAAACAGAAAGGAGGGTTAGAATAAATATATATTCTCACACCCCAAATTATAGACATCTCCATATCACATGTTTCAGCAAGGTAATAGCAAAGTGACCAACAGAGAACACAATCACATTGGCAACATTCACAATGCTACACTCAAGAGCCCTAACACTTCTGTACACAGCTAGAGGTAGTTGTAATAATGTTGCTGGCTCCTAGCGATACCAAAATCTTATAAATTTCCCATGATCAACCTTTTACAGACAAATAGCCAGTTGTTCTAACATTCGTCTCACCTAGAAGTCGGCTACGGCGATCTCCTCAGTCCTCACCACTTCTGACAGTAAAAAATGTCCAACTGTGAAGAAGATGCTCTGGTTGTTGGCTACTCGAATGGTTTAATTGTCACTCACGAGGGGATGATGGTCACTGTATGTTACTTTTCCTAGGGGTTATGGGATAATTCCAAATTTTTCCTTTGATTTCTTACTTTAGAAAAAATCTTGAGTAGTTTAGTACATTTCTTTGTCAGACTCCAAGAACACAAAATTTGAATGTCTGAACTGCCGGATTTTTAACTTGTGGTTTTCACTTGCCGAAAACCCAAATCGCACCAAACCTCTATTTCCACATAATTTTAATAGCTAAGATCTGAAGCGGGTAAAAGTGTTTGTATCAGTTTCATTTGGATAATCTTAATGCTGATCAGAACCTAGACGCACACAAAAAAGGGCTTTGTCTAAGAATGTGTATCTTTTTTGTTAAAAAACTGGATCATAAGAGCAGGCTAGCAGCTGAAAGGAAAACAAGCAGCAAGGTGTCTTCTTTACGGGGGAAAAAAAAAAAAAAAAAAAAAAAAAAATTATAGGCGACCCCAATATCTTTAACCTACACAACCAAGTAGCTATTGAACGCCCCGTACACTTTAGCCCATAACACCGCTATAAAGGTGACTTTATGCCGCAACAGATCAGAAGACAAAGAAATCTAGATTGCTCATGTGTTTTGCTATTGGATTGAAAAGGAACCACTCGTCCTTGCATAATTGCATTGTGATACGACAACTTATATTAGTTATATATGAGGCTGTGACGAGCTTTTTCGCATTATTGGCTTTAACTCGGCTACCCCATCAAAAATATCAGTCCTTTTTCATATCCAATATACGAAATCTGCAAAATGTATAGGGGACGAAAAAAATTCCCAATTTTTGTTTGTTCATGCATTCAAGAAGATTTGGTCTTAACAGAATTTTCAGGCATCATAGCCCCCATGGCCCCACCCCCCGCCACAAAGAGAAAATGTGCCCAGAGTAAGCAATAATGAATGCATCACTGGCAAATTTTCTAACTAGTAAATGTTCAACGAATTTCAAGCAACACTAGATTGAGGCCAGTTACTATAGAATGAATTATGCATAATGCATTGATGACTTGGCAATAACTAGACCACTAAAAAAAATTAAAAATTAAAAATAAATAAATAAATAAATAACCTGGGTAGACATTGGCTGTGCAGTATTTACAACTTGGGGTCCAACTACAACTGGCAGATCATATTGCTCAAGATAGCCCCAAATAGTGTCTTTCATCAATGGAGAAACTCGGATAAATACAGCTATAGCATCCCTCAAGGCACCCTGGAAAGACAAGAAGTGTCAACTATAAATTGCAGAGGTATCAAATTTTGCTCCATAATTCAATCAATAAAAGGTGAAGTAAACCCACCTTGAGAAAAGGAGGCACATTTTCATAACTAAGGAGCTTAAATAATGGCTCGATATCAGTAAACCAGTTTTTCCTGTCAATGGGATTTCCATTTTCCACAACCTGCAGTTACCATAAATCAAGTCTTTAGAGTCAGAGTAATATATTTCTTGGTCCAGAGTTAATAGAGACTGCGTAAAAACACTTCTCCAATAAGAAAAGAACATTTAATTCAAAAAGAAATGAACTGTCTTGCAAAAAAGGTAATCAAGAAGTACAACCCAATTTCTTTTATGCTTCCACTACAGAGATTAACATGGAATGATAATTAAAAATGTTAAACTTTGTAACCATGAGAAGAATTGTTTGGATAAATGACAACAAACCTTTCGAAGAACAGTCAAATATGCAACAAGTGCTTTAGCATCCCCTTCTGGAAATTCTGGCAGCAAGGAACCAGTGCTCTGAAGAGTCTGCTTAAACTTATCCGCATAAATTGACAAGCAATCAAACAAAGTGCTCCAAGAAACAGAACGGAAAGTTTTCCCCTGAAGCAGCTCAAAAACTTTTGACGAACCCTCTTGACTGCAAGCCTGCAAAAAAGGGTAAGAAAACCAAGACTTGAAAATAAAACAAAAATAAAGAAAGAAAGGATTGTGCGACAGAAAATAGCAATCATTTCACGTACCAAGGCGCCAAGCATTTTTAAAAAAGCAACCAGCGTATGAAAATTACTGTGATCTTCCCCAGCGAAGTTAACAAAGGTCCACAGAACATCATTTCCGGACAGCAATTCCGGTTCTTTCTGAAAAATATCAAACAATTGCAGGAATTCTAAGCAAGCACCATCCGATGAAATAAGTTTCCGATAATTAAATAATGGTGCAAAAAAAAAAAAGAATGTGTGATGTTTTAAACCATCTTCAGAATGAGACAAACAGAACATTATTAGCCTGCCATAAACCTAACTACTAAGTACTAAGACAACTAACTACCACAAAAAATAAAATGCATGATAATTTTAGTGTTGTTACTCTAGCCTTTCAACAGCTAAGCAGATGACAAAGCCAACCCATTAACTCAACATAGTGCAAAGCTTACGAATCAACATTGATACAAGATTGGTTTTGGCCAAATCTAATACTACAGCAACAGCAAAATCAAAGACTTAATCCTCAAGGGGATCAGCCACATGAACCAATAATTTCTTTCCTATAGTAGTCAGCCAAGATCATTTCCCTCCAGGCCCATTTATCACAGTGATCAATATGCTCCAGTAAGCCCACTTCCTTCATATCATTCCTAAATCCATTGAAGTCATCTTTGGCATCCCTAATTTCCTTCAAATGCATCTTCTAGTCTTCATCTTACATGCCCAAACCAACTTAATCGATTCTCCCCTTATCTCATACTTAATACCCATAACTCCAACTTTTCACTAAATATCCTCATTTGGTATAAATAATATCATTCTTCAAAAGGTGCTCCCACAAATCAATCTATACTCACGCATTTTTTTACTCCCATTTTCTAATATGATCCTTTGTAAACGATGAATCATATATTAACTTTGCTCCAACAGTCTCATCATAGAATTTTCCCTTAAACCTTACAGGTATAGTACTCTCACCCAATAACCCTCTGTTGCTGCACTCAATTTAAGCCACCCGGACTTCATACTCTAAATCACATTTTACCCAGATTTAATCCTCTCAGCAATGAAAGGACTTAGGCCAAGCTGGTCTGAACAAACCACATTAGACAAAACAACAAAAAAAAAAAAAAAAAATAAATAAATAAATAAATAAAATTAAAATTAAAGATTAGAAAAAGAAAAGGAAACCATCTGCAGTGCATCAGTAATGTCTCATGCATTCACAGCCAGAGGTGATGGATTATGTATCTCACAATATTACCACACTAGTAATCAGACATAATCTGCCTTTACTTGGCCACCAAAAAAGTGAAGGGGCATACCTGATAAATCTCACTGATAAACTCCAACAAGGAAATAAATGGTTGACGATCAACTTCAGCAGCATGACCAGCATTTATGTTGTCCAAGTGAGAAAAGCCATGAGGTCCTCCCATGCGATAAGGGCTTAGTGTAGTCATAACCTTCTCTTTGACCTCTTTTACCTATAAAAATCAGAGATAGAAATTATGTTACTTTGACTCTTCATTAGGTCATGCAAACCAATGAAGAACACAAAAACAATTTAATGAGGCTAGGGAAACTTTACACTATATTTGGATAACAATAGTGAAGGGAAAGGGAGGGGAAGGAAAAAGAGGGGAAGGAAAAAGAGGGAAGGGAAAGGGAGGGGAAGGAAAAAGAGGGAAGGGAAAAGAGGGGAAGGAAAAAGAGGGAAGGGAAAGGGAGGTGAGGGGTAAGAGAGGTGGACTTCCAATTCCCTTCCAAATTTTTCCAAAGGAACTTGGTTTTTAATGAGGGAGGGAAATGGATCCTTCCAATTCCCTCCCCTTCCCTCCTTGTATTAGACATCCAAATAAAGGATGATGGATCTCTACTTTTCTTTTCTCTTCCTTTCCCTCCATTTCTCTCTATCCAAACATAGTGTAACTCATTCACTTCAATTTTCAACCACATACTACCACACACACACACGCACGCACGCACAAAAAAAAAAAAAAAAAAAAAAAAAAGGTACTAGAATAAATTAAATAAATTATTTTAAAACAAAAGAATGTGAAGAGGAGAGAAAATCTTGTAATGTATGCTCACAAATGGGTTTAAGATCAAAATTCTCAGTACAGGCAAACATATCAGCCTCAAATGTTAAATAATGAGTTGGACAGACCTTGTCTCTAGCAAGTGGTTCAGACAAGAAGATAGTCATAAGCTTATGAAGATAAGCATTGTACATATAAGTCATATCTTCATCATCATTCTGCAGACAGAAAAACACAATTACGCCCTCAAAAATTATCCCAAAACTTTCAGTCATCTTAAGAATTACCTGATAAGCAGCAGTTCGGAGAACTTTCTCCATGAAAAACTGAAACACGTTGTTTGAGAAAATGACTTCCAAGCAAGAGCTAATATTCTGCAAGTCTTTGGACGAAGCACTGGAGATTGTATTCCTTGTTGTGACTCCCTCTTGTACTAACATCAGATGCACTGACCATGCCAGTCTTACGCAGTCAACAAATCCACTTATATTTGGGTCGTTAACAGGAGCCATCACCTAAATATATTTCAAATCATTAAACAGAAGATTATAACACTTTATATTACTTAAACCAAAAGGCACCTATCTAACCAGTGGTTCTTACAATATCTTGAAACTCTTGTCTGAAGGAAACATCACGAGAAAGGACAGACACTTTCTCTGGAACAGTGCTTAGAGCATCAGAAGTGAATGCAATTACAAGAGAAAAAAGGATGCCATATGTGATCTGCACGGGAAAATCAAGAACCAAATTAAATGCAGCACAATAGAGCAAGGAGGGACTGCAACAGAATTATTAGAAAATAGACAAAATAAATTAATTAGATTCCAGAAACACAGAAATAAAAATTAAAAAAAATTAAATTAAATTAAAAGAAAAGAGACTACAAATACATACCTGATATTTTGAGGTGTCAGTGCAGCCGTTGAGTTCAGCAGCACTGTCTTTCAGTCCTGAGAATATATCCTTTATATCTTTGGGGCCTAAACAAGAAAAAAAAAAAAAAATCACAGTTTAGGAATGCAGTATCTAACAGCCTATCAAATGAAAAACATTTCCAAAATTGATAACAATTTTATAAAAATAAAGGATTGATCCCAAGTTATAGCAATATTCTCAAACAATGCTCACATAGTCAAGTTTCAAAATTATCAAGATATTGGCCAAGAAAAAATATCTATCCCCAAAGGATCATATTCAGACAGGGAGTTAATAGCACTTAAGCCAAACTTTTAAAGAGGATTATAGATTTGTAGTCATAACACCACCCACTTTCTTCTTTCTCACACTTTCTACCTTATCCCTGAAAACCCATCCCTACATCCTCCCTTTATTCCTCGTCACCCCCACTCACTCCCATCACCAAACATCTTTCATTACCATCCTCGACATAGTTCTACACCTAATCCTCTTCAACAAGAGTCACAGCCACCATTTTGGACCATCACCATCATCTTTTACGGCAACCAGCAGTATCTTATAAATACCTGTTCCCAGCATGGAAAAAAAGATAGGCTAGATTTGAGACTTCGGTGATTTAAATTGGCCTCAGGTTATCAATCAAAAACCAAAAAGACCAGAGCCGGCTCCATAGAGTCAATTTTTTCTACCACCATGGATATAAAGCCAATGGTTGTAAAAGAGTTTTTGTGGTTGGAAACCAAGGGATATATTTGTTGCAGTTCACTCCGGATGAGAACAGGATAGGGCGGAAACTCAGATTTTCCATTGATCTGGCAACTAAACCCTTGTTTTTGATCAATGTATGAAACAACTAGAATGTATAGCGCACCTACTTAAATTAAAAAAAAAAAAAAGCGATCCTTCAGCACATTTTTGCACTTCTTCAAAGTATAGCAATATAGCATACTTACTAAAAATAAAAAATGAGGAAAAAAAAGCTGAATGCCTTGGGTGCCTCACTGAAATTGCCTCGCCTAGACCAAAAAAAATGTGCATATCCCCAGCACCTACCATTTATACATTATTTCAAATATTATATTTAGTAGAGAGATGTGGGTTGGGAACTGCAATATAGCCTGCTATAGTAAGGAAAAATACTACTGATAGATGAAAATTGTTTGTTCACATTGAAAGCCAGTATGGTAACAATAATGCAGCAAAGAAGAAACAGTATCCAAAAAAAAAATTACAAGGAAAAGCTGCATCCAAAATTTTCAGAAAAAAAGGTTTTTTTCATGATGTGATAAAAGGCTAAAGAGCTTTGTGCTCGATGTAGCTGGCTCAATTGATCTCTGTGTTTGGACTTTTACTCTAGCTTGCAGCAAACCTGTTTTCTTAAAATGAAGATGTTGGATGGTTTTCCCTAATGCACTTATCTATCTTAAAAACTTTCACAACAATTAGATTTTTGAAAGCTACCATTATTTTGGTGGTGGAATGGAATTAATGACATACAAAGGAAGTGATGGTGACAAGGACCAATGGTGAAAAAGATGAAAGAAAACAAAGGCTTGGGAAGGGGGGTGGGGGTTGGGTACCATAATTTTTGCTAAGCTGCCATTACATGAATTTGTCAACCCTGCATTAGTAAAGTTATTTGTCAACTTTTCCCACTAGAGAATTAATTTGAGAATCTGATAATTCATTTGAGAATCTTCAAGAAATGAGGGTCGTTTTACTTCACTCGAAATAGTTTAAACATATGAGAATCTAGGACACTTTACAAAAAATAATCCAAATAGTTTAAACATATTCACTCAAAAACACATATTAAACCACACCAAAATGAGCGAGCTAATAACTTCATCATACACTCATTTTTCAATCCCTAGACACTGAAAATTCTTGAAAAAAAAAATAAGAAAGTTGGGTGCAATTTGATAAATGTTATTAAAGATAGGGAAAGGGATTTTAAGACTTCCCTTTCTCTAATATATTCATTCCCCTTTTACACTTTGCTCTCATTCACTCACTTCACCACCACCATTGGCGCGGAACTAGTGTATGACCTGGTAGGGCACGTGACTTACCACTTTATTAAAAATTCAGCTTTTTTTTTATTTTTGCTTCGTGAAAAAAATGTAAAATTACACTGTAATTTCTATTTTAATTATTTTAATTTTTAAGATTGTTCTGAGCCAATTGTATATGCTCTTTTGGTTGCTATGATTGGTTGAAATTGGTGGTTTTTTTTCTTTTTTTTTTTTTTGGTTACGGTAAGAATTTCTTACTATGTGTGTAGAATTGTTGGTTTGTGTGACAAATTCGGCTTATACGAAGGATAGCTATTTTGATATATTAACTATATCTATGCTATCTAATAATTCTAATTAAACTTCTGCAACAAATTTCGGAATAGGAGGGATGAGCTATTTTAATATAGTTAAAGCATTAATATTAGTTGTTGAATAATACACAATTGATGGTGATATACCATTACAAAAATCCTCCCCACCATCCTCTCTCTCTCTCTCTCTCTCAAGTTGGATACACAATATTGAGATATCAAAAATTATGGGGATAAAAAATAACAAAACCTTTGTCACAAGCAATTCCTATCCCCATCCTTAAATACCATTACCACTCACCAAAAAATCAAAAATTGACACGGACACCAAAGTCTAGTGGAGATGGACCCACCTTATCTGTCAAAGTTGCTCACTAGCATGTTGGAGATGGAGTGTGATTCATGCACTAATCATAAATAAAATCTTGTAAAATCTCAGTCAAAATCCAACCATGTATCACCTGACTTCTCCACTGATATCAAATTCCCAGCACCATCTTCCTCCATGAACCCAATAACCACCACCACCCCCCCCCCTCTCCTCTTTAGACCAATAATACCATCAGTTTACTATTTACCCACAAGACCAAGGCTAGAAAGGGGGGAAACGCACATATATTCAAAAGATCTACAGGCACTAAAATTTGAACAGGTCATTATTGGGTCCTTATTATATGATAAAATGGCTGAAAATGAGGGGGATCTGCATATTCTATGACAGGCTGATAGCAGAACCTGGCCTGTGTTAGAGTCCATGATTATGTCAACTTTACCATAATGCACCAAATCAGCAAAACAAACTAGAAAATAAGAGACTGAATACATTTGTGCTACCGCACATATCAGATGGTCGAAGAATTCCTAAAGTTCAATAATCATAAGTTCAAGTAATCAACAACTCTCAAGACACTTACTTGTGCGCACAACCAGAGCAGACAACACAAGGCAGTGAGAGAGGATAAGTCTTTCCCGGCAAACAACTGCTCGACGCTCCACAATAGCACCACGAGCATCAATGATATAACGCTCTGCATTAGGACCCCCTAAACCAGCTGGTTCTTCCCAATTGAGTTCCTAGATACCAATAATACAACAGGAAGTTACTAGAGGATCTTAAAAAGAAGGAAGCTTGCATAAATACAGATATGCAACCATACTACTCATTCCTACTGTTACATAAGGTCATTTACATAGGGTATATGTTATCAGAATGTGCCTCCTACTCAACAACACATCCACTCATACATTTTCATAATCTTAGTTTCAAGAACCAAGTACTGAGATGATATCAAACTTTATAAATGGGAGCTGAATAGTGGTACAGTAAAGAGTGAATAACCCATGGCCAACCTTTATTAAAGTTATCAATCGTTGTCTGAGCCCAGCATTTAAAAGATCCTCTAAATATTTCTGAATGTCAGCCACCAGATCCCCTTCAAGATCCTGGTCAAGCACAACAGCCTGCGAAAACAAAAAGTAAAATGATGATCAGTAAATGGAAAAACAAAAAATTAAGTAAAAAAAATTAATTAAAAAAAAAATCCATCATAGGCAAACGACATTATGAAGATGATAGGAAATGTTATACCCTCAATAGAGTGTACAAGGCTGTGATTAGATCTCTTCTTTCTGTATACCAGAGTCCAGTCGCTAGACGTAAAATTTCCAAAGGTTCTCGTCCTAACAAGCCCCACTGAGAGAAAGAAGAGTGCACATTAATACCAATAAGTGCACCTGATGTCAATTTGCTAGTATAAGACATAATTATGCACCAAGAGACAAAAAAAATAAGAGAAGGGGGCACATCTGTACCTCTTGGTTTGCAGAAACAAGCAACCGCACACAATCAATTTCATTGAGGTGAAGATCATCACTCAGTTTCAGAGCCTAACCATCCATCAAAAAACAATAGCATTTAAGAATAGGGAAGAAACAAAATGCGATAAAGTTACAGGATACAGATTAAAGAAATTCGATATCAACCACTTAAATAAAAGATGAATCCTTCCATTACATCGAAAAGTCTCCTTTCGAACAGAATTTCTCAAATAGTTGGTGTTAAAGCAGCTAAAATCCCCTGACAATGTCCAAAAAAAAACTACTCCTCTGTCCAGATTCTGTATTCAAATTGTCCGAACTCCTCATAAATACGGTTTTCCAAGGAGATTTATGATACTTGTTAACCTACTCATAGACTCTCCTCATTACTCAAGCTCAGTAAGAGGCATCTTAGAATACCTAATCATAAACCATCACTAATCAAATAAAGGTGACGACTTGATCCCGAACATATCAGAGTAGTTTAATACGATTATTATTTCTGCACCAAAGGAGTATACACATGTAAAGTCTTACATCAAGTAGGTGTTTGTGTACGAGTAATTGACAAGGATCGATTAAAAACTGTAATTATCTTGAACTTGCTCACTTTCACATTGCTCCAATAGAAAAATTCAACTAATAATTTTCTAATAGAACAGCTCATTATTCTACTGCATAAAATTACTAACACCAAACCCTCACAATTTAACACCAAAAAGCAAGTAATTCAGCAAACAAAAAATGTAGCAAAGCAGCGAAAAGCTTACAAGATGAACATCCTGATCGTCCAACGATATCGGCGGGGACGTCGGTAACCGTACTTCCTTCGATTGCACCTCAGTTCGATCCGCCGGTCGAGGAGGCTAACAAATTAAACCACAAAAACAATCAAATTCAACAAAAAAAAAAACATCAAAATTGAGCAAAAAAAACAAAAACAAAATCAAATTGAAAAAGGCAATAGAAACATTACAGGATAAGAGAGGAGGTTTTGGAGAGAGGAGAGAGAACTGCGAACGGCGTGCATAAGCTCAATACGATCGGAAGGAGAAGGAGGAGAAGAGCTTAGAAGTGTGGATTCGATTGTGGAAAGGAGTTGCTTAGGAGACACCATTGTTGAAGCTTGGAGAAACCCTAGAAATGGTGGTTTGAGGAAGAAAGGGATTTAGGGCGGGAAAATTGGGGAGAGTTTTAGGAGGAGAGAGAAAATGGAGGAAGAAGGCGAAAGGTGTGTGTTTTTGAGAGAGTGAGGAAGTTGAGTTTAGAGGTTTGTGAAACCCCGTTAAAGCCCTTCCTTCGTTCTGGAATTTGGTCTGAGGAATGAACTAATAGCAGAGTTGAATTTATTTTTTATTTTTTATTTTTTTGGTGAAAATTCAAATTTTGTGCACAATTTTGGCCCAATAAGTGGGTTTTGGGACAACATTTTTGGCCCAAATAATGGGCCCAACCCATCATGAAGGTTTTATTACTTCTATGTTTTTTAACCTTTCATTTGGAACTAGTGGGTAGTCTCGACATTGTACCGGGTTTCTACTTTAATTTTTACTTGTGATTATATGTATTTGATATTTATAATGTTTTTCTTAAAAAAATTCAACCTTATGATAATCAATTATATACATTTATTTTTATGTTTATAACATGGCTGATAATTGGCTTAGATGGTTAAATAATCATCCCTCTTATAAGAGGCCATTCAATGTGTACATTACCAAGATTCTCTTAACTATACATCCAATGTGTACATTATGAAGTACTTTGTAGTCTGTATAACATAGTCATGTTGAGATTTTTTTTATTCATTAAAAAAAATGAGTAGTTTATTGATATTCAGTTACTATTTTTATTTTATTTTTTATTAGTGTGCAACTATAGATATTTGACTTATAGATATTAATGGATTGTCACATGTATACATTCAAAATGGCATGAACATTTAGTATCGAAGGGACTATATTTTATTTTCTCCTTTTTTTTATTACTTGTTATATTTTGACTGATGCACTATTCATATGGTCAGTATGATTAGATAAGGATAAATATAATCACTTGGAATCTTGGTAAATTCATCTTGATTTATACTTGTACAATATCAAAATTTCTAATTGTTTTACAAATTAATGCGTTGGCAAACATGAAATCAGAAGCGCTGCAAGTAAAAACAATAGCAGAAAAATGTTGATATATCATAGATAAATCGCTTAAAAAATTATGAGTTTTTAAAGTACATAGTATTTAATGTTACTAAATTAATAATAATATTGTATGAGTATTACTCGTAAAAAGATCTCACAACATTCTACTAAACACTTTGAGAGTAAGGGAAAATGGTAAGAGCTTTTTGTCCTCCCATAAAGTGTCTCAAAAGGGGATTAATATATACTCAACCTCAAGGCTAATTATTTGAAGATGCAATTCTCAGTATTAGCCCAACCTTAGTTTGGTAGATTGGCATGAGACTCCCTCTGTTTTTAAATGCATCGATTTGAGCAACACATTTGTCAAGACGTAATTTTAACCATTAATATCCTCAATTGTTTACTAGTAAAAATTATAACAAAATTATATTATGAAACTAGACATTATGACTCATCTAATGATATATTAAATAATACTCCCTCCGTCCCAAAAAGAACGACCCATTTGGCCAAAACTTTGTCCCAAAAAGAATGACCCATTTGCATTAAAACATCATCAATTTGCAACAATATTTGTGCAAAATTAGCTTCCCCATATAAAAATTTGATTTTCCATGTTATTTTATTACTTTCTCTCTCGATTTTTTTACAAACCCCATGTAAATTTATCTTTCCAATATACTTTTACTTTTTTTTTACTTTTTTTTTAGGAATGCATCGAGCACTTTTATTAATCAATGGACAACGCGTCCGAGAGTACATATGGAGCAATTTCCGGCGAACAATGATTAATCCATGTTTGTTCTACCCCAAAAGGTATCATCCTAGCTAGATCATGGGCTACCCAATTCCCTCCCCTTTTTACATGAGACCAAGAAAAGGAATCGAATTCACTACTCAGAAAACAGAATGTCCTCAATTACTCCATCAAGATCAGAGAAGTATATTGCTGCTTTCGACAGGCGCTTCATAAGAGTTTCACAATCCGACTCCAGCATCACTTCCTTATAGCCATATTTCTTCGCGAGTCTAACAACCATGAGCATTGCTTTTGCCTCTGCAATTTCTACCAGCCACCAAGCTCGTATCCTTCTAGACGCTGTGAGCAGCACCTCGCCTTTGTGATTTCTCGCAACAACACCCAATCCAACCCACCCTTAATCCACCAAACTTGCATCTGCATTTAACTTTATCACTGAATTTGACGGAGGAAGCCACTTAGATGGGCTGTGCTTTGCTGCTGGTCTCGCAATTCCGTAGATCTTCTTTGCATACGCTCCATAATCTTCCACCAGCCTCCTCAAACGCCTCATCAAGACATTGTGGGGAGTTGTGTTCCCAGAGAACACATAATTGTTGCGCTCATTCCAAATCAGCCACGCGAGGAAGGCTGCAGTTTGCATCTTTTTTGCATCCTGACTCCTCCATCTCTCTACCATGTCGCAGGCACTGCCTCTACTGTCACAAATTAAGCTCGAACACCCACTTTCCTCCCACAGATCTTTAACTCTAATACAGTCAAAGATAGCATGATTGCTCGTCTCCTCTTCGTTCCCACACCATGGGCAAGAGGCATCTTCCAGTAGGTGACGATGCTTCAGCAGGGCCTTTGTTGGCAGAATATTTGAGCAGAAGCGCCAGAAAAAGTGGCGGACCTTAGGTGAAGCTTCCATACCCCATATTATCACCCAAGCACGATGGTACTCATCAAGGTTGCATCCCTTCCCAATCATTTATGCAGTCTTTGTGGAATAAAGACCATCATCCGAGAAAGCCCAAGTCTTGACATCTCTCGGTGCTCTTAAACTAATAGGAATTGAGAGAATGCATCTTTGATCACGGTCATTAAAAACGGTCGAGATAACATCATAATTCCATTCCATACTCTCCAAATCAATCAAATCACTAACCTGCGAAATTCCATTTACTTCAGGGCTTGTCACAAATCGTCCCTCTGAGTCAGCGAGCCAAGGGTCACTCCATACATTCACATTCGAACCAGACCCTATGCGCTAGATAATACGTTCTTTCACAAGGGATTTACTACTCCACACACTCCTCCACGAGTAGCTTCCTCCAACTCCCAAATAAGATTCAAGAAAAGAGGAATTTGGATAGTACTTTGCCTTCATAACTCGACTCAAGAGAGAGTTTTCCATATGAACTAGTCTCCATGCTTGCTTTCCCAACAAAGCATCATTAAAAACTTCGAGGTCCTTGAATCCCATCCCTCCTACACATTTTGGAGAACACATGTTATCCCAAGATTTCCAATGCATTTTTTGTCGCGCTTATTTTTTACCCCAAAAAAACCTAGCCATCACTAACCGAATATTCTGAATCACCGAGAGGGGAAATTTGTATACTCCCATCAAGTAAGTTGGGATAGCCTGGATCACGGATTTCAACAACACTTCCTTCCCGGCCCTAGACAACAACTTCTCTTTCTAACCCTGCAGTTTCTTCCAAATTCTATCTGTTAAGGCTTCAAAAATTGCTTTTTCGGATCTTCCTGCAACTGTTGGGATCCCCAAGTACTTCTCATGTCTGTCAACTTGTCTCATGTTCAAAACCTCCAAAAGCTCACTCTTTTGCTCGATGCTCACACCTTTGCTAAAAGACACCTCCGATTTTTCATAATTAATTTTTTGCCCTGATGCTACTTCATAAGTGTTGAGTATATCAACTATAACTTCGCATTCTCGTCGGTTTGCTCTTTCAAATAAAAAACTGTCATCGGAAAACAAAAGATGTGAAATAACAGGTTCACTCCTGCTAGCTTTAGCCCCATGCAGCTGTTTCTCCTGCACTTTATTCTGTAGCATGTGAGAAAAAACATCTGCAACTAAAATAAACAAGTAAGGAGACAAAGGATCTCCCTGCCGAAGCCCCCGAGAGGGGGTCACATCCCCACATACTCTTCCATTCACAATAAAAGAGTACGAAACTGACATCACACAATCCATAATCAAGTTCACCCATCGACCATCAAACCCCATAGTAAGAAGAAGCTTTTTTAGAAATCCTCACTCGACCCGATCATAAGCTTTACTCATATCCAGTTTCAAAGCAATAATACCCCTTGTAGACACCCATTTGTGTCTCCCTAAAACCAAACCCAGTGATGAGTACCTTTCACGTCGAATCATAATCGAATGAAACGAAAGTGTGGAAAGGTCTAGTGTTGCGGAAAGTTTTTTATTTCTTTTCTCTTCTCTCTGTTTTTTGAAAACTTTATTTTAATAAAACAGCCAATCCAGTTTGGTTGGTCCATGATATGGGTCCAATAGTAGTGTAGTTGGATGGGGCTTGCAAAGACCTTTCCAACGATATATTATAAGCCCAATTCCGATGAATATTGAGGAAATTATGGCCAATTTAATAAACTGGGCCCGGTTTGAGCTTTATGTACGGCCCAATGATCTAGGGGAGGGACTAATATGATTTATCATTCCTAATGCAATTAGGAATAGTTTTAGTCTTTTAGAATCTTCTAGAAGGTTCTTTTCATTCCTAATTCAATTAGCATTGATAAGTTGACTTTGTTGACTTTTCAGAGTTTTAATCAAGATCAAATAGCATTTTCGAAGAAATTATATTATTTTATCTTCCAGTACGGTAAATTTATCAGATTTTTCGAAAACGCGTTGAAATCCAGTTTGGCGTCCAACCCCAGGCATTGGCGCCTGGAACCAGGTTTGGCGCTAGGCGCTAGCCATTGGTGGCTGGCGCCAGCTAGCCAGGGTTGGCGCAACCTTGTTTTGCGTGCGTCAGACTCTGTTTTGTTAAATTATCTTTTTTGGCTAATTTTCTCTATAAATATCGTATCAAAATCTCCGTTTTGATTCATCTACAATTCGTGATCTACAATCATCATTCATCGTCTTTCATTCACCAATTCTCTTCATTCTCAAGCTTTCATCAACAATCATTAATTCTCTAGCATTCTTTCTTTCAATTCTTTCTTTCTTACTTTTTCATACAAAATTCCGCATTCGCAAGATCTAGAAACACCTAGCCATATTCGAAGTTGCCTTCACCCTAGACGTGAAAGGTTTTAATTTCTGAGGGTTTGGTCCCAAATCTCTATTTAAATTATTTAATTTAATTGTTTCGATTATTATTTTCTTTGAAGTTACTAACGTGTGTATTTTGTTATTAGAAAGAGGTACGAGACATCAAAGTAAGTGCTTTAATAGTTTTAATTGATATTATGATGTAGAAATCATGTTTATATTGTTATTATGATTCCTAGTATCATGTCTAGGGTAATTTTAATATTAAATATGATTCATGTGATGCTTCCTATGTTCTTCCTAATATTTATGATTGCTAGTATCATGTTAGGGTTAAAGATTTGATTTTTATTGCTTAGTGACATGCTAGAGTTTGTTATTAATCTTGTTAGTATCATGCCTAGGATCTTGCTATTTTTATTATGCTTTAATATTAACATGAACATGATTATGATTATAATTGTTACAATTTATGATTATTATTATTTTGATGATTATTATTATTATTCATGTTTATTCTAATGATTGATTATTTATTATTATGTTGCTTGTTACATTATTTATTTGTTATTGCTTGATCACCTTTATGCATGCTTAAAGGGAATTTATACTTGTAATCATGCTTAATAAGATAATTAATAATCTTGTTAGGGTTAATTGTGATTATAATTCAAGTGATCGCCAATAATAGTTTGTTTGTGCATTAAATTCAACCAACATAGATAAACAGGTTTAGGGTCAATCCTATTGATTGTATGTTAGTCAGAAAGCGCACATGAATACGATCAGAATAAAGTAGAGGCCTATTATTAGGGCAGATTCAATCTCTTTTAGGTTGGATTTGTACTTTCATCCCCGAACCCTTATTTGGTTCATGACCTTATGGAGTTGACGATCTCTTGGATCGTTAAGGGGTGTAACCTTCACCTCGTGAACGGTTTACAAGTTCCTTAAAAACTTGTTGGCGACTCTTTTGCTCTATCTTCTTCCCTTTTGGACGCCACCGTACTTTAGTGTATGATCACAGTAGGGTTCAAGCTAGTGAGATTTTTAAGGCTTGAAAGTATTCCCTACACCCCTCCTCCCCTTATTTCTCTTCTTCATAGAATGAAACAACTCAAGAGCAATCAGAGCATTATCAGTTATTAGACGACCCGGCACAAAGGCACTTTGACATTCCGAGACAACCGAAGGGAGAATGTGTTTCAGTCTAAGCACTATAGCCTTAGATTCTAGTTTATACAAGACATTGCAAAGGCTTATGGGTCTAAATTCAGACATCAGAGTAGGTTTGTTGACTTTCGGGATTAAAGCAATATTAGTATTGTTTACAGAGTTCGGGGAGATTAAACCATGCAAAATACTACTAACAAAATTAGTCACATCATCACCTACAATATGCCAAAAATTTTGGTAAAAAATCGCATGCATACCATCCGGGCCTGGGGCCTTACAAGGGTGCATCTAGGGGTGGGACTTTTCAAACCGAACCGTGAAACCGCCCGTTACCGAACCGAACCGAACCGAACCATCACGGACCGATCCGTTTATAAACCGATAAATATAAACCAAAAACCGAACTGAACCGTTCAATATCAAACCGAAACCGAATTGAACCGCTCAATGTCAACCCGTTACGGACCGTAAACCGATAACAAACCAAACTGCGCAAATCCGAACCGAAACAAAACCGAACCGAATGGTTTATAACCCGTTAATGACCCGGACCGTTTATAAACCGAAACCGTTTAAACCGAAAAAAAAACCGTTTAAACCGAACCATTTGTAACCCGCTAACCGTTTAAACCGACCCGTTTATGAACCGAAACCGTTTAAACCGCACGTATAAACCGAACCGTTATAATCCGCTAACCGTCTAAACTGAACTGCCATAACCCGTTAAACCGTTAAAATAGAACTGTTTTCGAATCGCAACCTGTTTAAACTAATCCGATTACAAACTGCTTAATTCAAATTGAATTATTTACAACCTAAATGGCTAAATAGTAAATACAATTAATGTTAATAAATGTAGATCTAATCAAACGACTTAGGTTTATACAAAGGTTTATATCACCTAGATCTAGGCCAACGACATTATTAATATCGTTTTAGATTACTTATTTATTTTAATTACAAAATATATCATTTGTATAATTGTATCATTTTCATTCCAGTAATAATGCTAGTCCACCCAAATTATCTTCATTGTTCCTTGATATTCATGATCATCCAATAAAACTCAAAGCCTCAAAGGTAACATAAGATTGGAGATGTATGAGATTGCGTTACACAAGTGGCATAAGCATTAGAATATTACTGTACTAGTCAATAAGGCGTACAATCATTCACATTATCACTTTATAAAACTTTCTTATACAAGTATTTTGTAAAGGGGAGGACTAAAATGTTTATAAAACACATTTTTTTAGCTTTTCTTAAATTAAACCAGATATTAAGTAAAAGAATTTTAATAAATACGGAGGCATCCCAAATCTGTAGCCACAATTATTCATTACCACAAATCCAGCAGATAAATAGCATTAAAATTAGAGTAATATCAATAAGCAATTAAAAAAAGTCACCATTTTCATTGATTAAAATTCACAATACATATACCAATACATAATGAAACTACTATCACTACTACCCAGATTAGATTTCAGATTTATCAACTGAAATATCATCAAGTTTAGGGTTGCAAAAAATGATACATGATAAGATGAAGGGAGGAGTGAGAATGTGAGTGATTTGGGAGTAGAATCTTGAAGCAGAATCTTGCAGCAGCAGCACAACACCCAAGAGCAGAGGAAATAGCAGCAACAAGCAGGAACCAGCACACGCAATAACAGATCAGCAACTTATCAGAAGCAAGGAATAATATAAGCAGAAGGGACTCAGCAGGAACTTATTTTTGTTTTTCAAAATTGCTCTCAGATTTACGTTTATCGTATCATCACTGAGCAATGGCTGTTTTAACTTAAAACTTGAAAAATGCTGCCAGCAAGTACATATACATTGAAGTCTCAACATAAATGACAAGGGCAACGATGATTCAAGAAAAATTAAAACAGCAAGCATAAGAAACAGCAGCAACAAAACAGCAGCAAGCATAAGAAACAGCAGCAACAAAACAGCAGCAGCAACAACTCAGCAGAGACAACAACCAAAAGGCAAAAGCACTACCAGCAGGCAGCAGCTCATAACAAGTTCAAGCAACTTCAAAATTATAGCTTTTGTTTTTTAAAATTGCTCTCAGATTTACATCACTGAGCAATGGTTGTTTTAATAAAAACTTGAGAAATGCTGCCAGCAAGTACCAAAATACATTTAACTATTTAAGTCTCAACATAAATGACAAGGGCAACGATTTTAAAAGTCTTGAAAAATGCTGCCAGCAAGTCTGAAAATAAATGACAAGGGCAACGATTTTAAAAGTCTTGAAAAATGCTGCCAGAAAGTCTGAAAATAAATGACAAGGGCAACGATTTTTCAAGATAAAATAAACCACAATGAGACACAAATACCAGTTATGCAGATGAAGCACTTTCGGCTTCAATCTCTTTACCAATAAGGAGGACGTCTTCCTCAACATCCGCTTGATAACCACGACACCAATTTTGGGTGGTAACCAATGCCTCAACATTCTTTGGCAAAAGTTTACCCCTATATTTGTTCAAAATACGACCACCCAAACTAAAAGAAGATTCAGAGGCCACCGATGTAATAGGAATGGCCAAAACATCCCTTGCCATATTAGCTAAAATAGGAAGAGAAGAAGCTTGAGATTCCCAATACTTGAGAACGTCAAAATGTTCCCCTTGAATTAATCGCGAACGAGGTCCATTCAAATATGCCTCAAGATCAGCCAGAGGGCATCTAGTTGAATCATCACATTCGTCATCAACCTCACGCAACTAAAACATATTTTTTATTATAAAAGTTACATTATGACATTACAAATAAAAATAGAAGACTACCATTAATATTGAGTATATTGTATAACATAAATACCGTGAACATATTTTGAGATCTCAACGTGCGATTAGAATTTTCAGATTGAGCTGTGTTTGAAGAGGCAGGATTTCTGCAGCTTGTATTAGATGCAGTAGAATAAAATTTATAAAGGTCATAAAAAGCTTCCTTAATCATCATAATCTTTTCGTCGCATGCCTCATCATTATACATCGAGTTCAACATATGTCTCACTCGAAACAACTTATAACGAGGAACAAGAGCAATAGCAACTGAAAGTATCAAACTATAATCCTCCCAATAACTCTCAAACTTCTCAAGCATAACTGCTGCCATGGGTGCAAGTTTAGGGTCTTTAAAGGCTTGAGTAATAGCGTACTCAATTTTTAAAACACTAACAAAATACAAATTAGAAGTGAGATATTCGGTACCAGAAAATAACACAGTTATATCATTAAATGGCTGAAGGAAATCACAAATTTTTTTGAATGGTATCCCATTCATCAGCATCAAGTCTATAAGAAATACCCAAAAACCTACTAGTATATAGAATCAAGGCATCCTTAGCTTCTAAGGCTTTTCGGAGCATTGTATAAGTGGCATTCCAACGAGTCACAACATCAAGACATAACTTGCCATTAAAAGCAGAGTCTAACTTAGACAAAGCATTCTCAAATTGAGTTAATCTAGAATCAGAAGCATCAATATATTTAACAACCTCACGCAATTTTTCAACACTTTCATGAACTTCTTTTAAACCTCTTTGAACAATAAGATTTAAAACATGAGTTGAACATCGAACATGAAAGAATTTCCCATTACAAGGAAGAGGAGAGCATTGCATTAATTCTTTTTTCAAATATTCAACCATAACATCCATAGAACGAGCATTATCAACGGTCATTGAAAAAGCCTTACCTTGAAGGTTCCACTCTTTAATCAGTTCAAACACAAACTTTCCAACCTCAACACCAGTATGGGGAGGGCCACAATATCTAAAATTTAAAATTTTAGACCTAAGAGACCAACTGTTATCAACATAATGAGCAGTCAAAGTGAGATAGCCTCGGTTAGTACATGCAGTCCACAAGTCACATGTAAAGCTAACTCTACCAGAAACATTAGCCAAAGACTCATGCAACAAGGATTTATATTTATCATGCTCAGCAATAACATACTTTAACATAGTTTTTCTACAAACATGCTGCACCTTAGGATTCAAATATGCATGAAGTTCCCTAAGGTATTCATGCTCTACAATATTTAAAGGATATGCATGGCAGATTATAGCTTTAGCAAACTTTTGTAAATAAGTTTTTTGATCAAATTGTGATTCGTTACCGGACTGGAGACCATGCTTTTCCAAACATGCATTAATATGAGCTCTACAAGTTGAAGTACCCGCTTTACCAGGTGCTTTATATTCTTTGCCACACAAATTACAACGAGCATAATCTACCTTTTCATTACCTATCGTCTTTACAAAAAAAGTGTAATGCTTCCATATACCCGCGGTTCTTTGACGTTTATTAACAGAAGGATTGATAGTGCCGGTATTACTAGCATCATCAAGCGGGACAGTGGCAGTTTGAGAGACAACAGTATCAAAATTTGATTGCCTCTCATAGTCAAATTCATCATACTCGCGAGACATAACTGAAACAAAAAAAAAAACCAGCATTTATAAGTACCAAATTAAGTGACAGATTCTACTAATAGTGAGCAATTAAGCATGCATTGTCTCATGTGACTGACATATGTGTACATTTTAAGTACTAACTTTAAGCCAATCATACAAGTATACATTTTAAGTACATACAAGTATACTAACTTTAAGTACTAACTTTAAGCCAATCAGACAAGTATACATTTCACTGGACTTTCCTGAGGTAATGGTAACAAACTAATAGAGGCCTCAGACAAACTAGACCCATTTAATAAATGTTGGACTTGGGCAGAATGTACAAAGTATGACATTAGGCACAAGTACACAATTATTTTATAGTCCATTACTTGGAGTTTAGTTTCCAAAAAAAACACACACACACACACACACACAAAAACTAAATTTGAACAAAAAAAAAATCCTCATATCATACTTCCCACAAACAATTCTTGGATTAAATTGGGATTTGGGACATAAATACACAACATAACACTAACTAAAACTACATGTTACATTGAATTATAATATATGCTTTTTTTTATACAAGTATCATATAGTATAAACCATAAAACCCCCATCAAATTCATATACTCAACATCATGATCATATACACAGAAAAATAAAATTTCACAAAAAAAAAGCACAAAATAACGAAATATACATTACAGAACAATTAATGAACAAAAGATCGAAACTTAGAATAATAATAAAAAAATACATTATACCGTGAGTAGAATATGACAGATCTACAAAAAAAAAAGAAAAAAAAAATTAAAACTTCAAAAAAAAAAGCACAAATTAATTAATTATACATAGCAAAAGAAAAAAGAAAAAATAACTTATACGGTTATACACTTATACCGTGAGTATAGTATGACAGATCTACAAAAAAAAAGAAAAAAAATTAAAACTTAAAAAAAAAAGCACAAATTAATTAATTATACATAGCAAAAGAAAAAAAATAAAAAATACCTTATACGGTTATACCGTGAGTAACTGAGTATAGTATGACATATCTACAAAAAAAAAAGAAAAAAAAAAGATAAAACTTCAAAAAAAAAGCACAAATTAATTAATTATACATAGCAAAAGAAAAATACCTTATACGGTTATACCGTGAGTATAGTATGACAGGTCTACAAAAACAAAAAAAAAAGAAAAAAAAATTAAATCTTCAAAACAAAAAAAAGCACAAATTAATTAATTATACATTGCAAAAGAAAAAAGAAAAACTACCTTATACCGTGAGAGAATAAGACAGATCTACACAAAAAAAAAAAAAAAAAATTAAAACTTCAAATAAAAAAGAACAAATTAATCAATTACATAAATTGCAAAAGAAAATAGAAAAAATACCTTACCATTCGCCAATAGGAGATTCAGATGCAGAGAGATGATGAAGAGGGAGATTCAGAGGTGTGAGAAAGTTAGGAGATTCAGAGGCGTTAGGAGAGAGATAGATGGAGAGAAGCAAGTTAGGAGAGAGAGAGAGCCGTTTAGATTATGATGAACTGATCAAATGAGGCGTGCTACTGCTGTTGTTAGGTTTAGGTTAGGTTAAAACTTCTTCCCCTAATCTAACCGTCCATTTCCAATCTCAATATCTCACCGTTCATTTCAATTTTTTTTTGGTAGTAATTAAGGATCTAGAATCTTCATACATCCAACGGTCTTGTTTTGTTTTGTTCTTTTCGGGTCTTTTTGACCGTTTATTATTATTTTATTTAATTATTTTTTTTGATACTACCGTTCATTTTTTTTAAACATATTAAATATTATTGTTAATTATTTATTTTTATTATTATTATTTTGAATTTTGACTTTTGACTTTTGAGGTTTTTTATTATTATTATTATTATTTTTATTATTATTGTTATTAATAATGTTATTTTTTTATTAATACTGTTATTTTTATTATTATTGTTATTATTATTATTATTGTTAGTATAATTTTTTGTTAATATTATTATTATTACAATACTACTACTATTAATCTATTATTACTGTAAGTAATTTATTACTTATAAATTGTAAGAAACGCAAATGTTTCAAAATTGAAATTGATTCATTACGAGTTACGACATAGTTAATGTACATCAATATCTATCATCTCTATATGTATATAATTAATCAACTATATATTAATATATATGATCGGTTTAGGGTTTAGGGTTTTAAGTTTTTTGGGTGGTTAGATTTTACATCATGCATCAAATCATCCTAATGTAGTAAGTTTTTTTGGGTCCGATGTCTGAATGAGTTTAGTTTAGAGCATTACAAAAGATTTCGACAATGAACGAATGATTTTTTGTACAGATGCTGTTATCTTTCATGTTTAACCGTTAACTAAACAATAGCCGAAACTATTCCCAATGTACGTAGCATGTCTGTTGCCATGAAAAATATATTTAATTTGATATTGATCCGACCATACTAGCTAGTTTGCTATTATATACATTTAATTTGGCAATACTGTTAGTAGATTTGATATACCGCACGCTATCAAGTTGACTGTGAATAGAATCTAAATTATCTAATGTATGTCATTGTGGTTCGACCTACTTGATCAAACTCATAATTAAACTGAACATCCTCTTTAAGTTTAACCGGTAAACATAAATCATTATATATGTGAGTCTGTGACTTTAAATGTAATAAACTAATTAATAAGACTAGTAACTAATAAGTAATAAACTAATAACTAATAAAGTAATGAAATCTAACCATTGTTTTTCATGGGCATTCAATTTAATTGTTATGTATTTGACTATTTGTACATTAGTATTGCATAATGATTTCATCACCACTTTAGTGATTTTGTGATTTCGTCCATTTAACTTATCAAGTTGTTTGAGTTAGTAATCTAAATAAAGTAACAAACTAAATAAGTAAATAACTAATCCATTTAATCTCGTTTAACTTATAAATTATAAGAAATGCAAAGTTTGGAAATTGAAATTGATTCAATACGACATTGTTAATGTATATCAGTATATGTATTATGTATATGAGTATATCATATGGTACGAATGTACGATTGGTATCATACTATCATTGTCTCGTTGAATCGTTGGTATCATGGTATGTACGTATAACGGTATAAACCGTATAATTGATAAACATATATGATTATTAAAACTTAAAAGTTTAAAACACTTGTTGATCGATCTAATTGAATACTTGTACATTCTTAATTATCAATTTATCGTATTCTAAGTATCAACTCATTAAATCATGGTCATGACGCGATCTTTAAAACAATCATGAATTCATGACCCAGACCGCTTATAAACTGAACCGGCATGATCCAAACCGTTCATAAACCGAACCAATTGGATTGTGTAAACCCTCCACTAAACCGGCCCATTTCAAACTGAACCGACATGATTCGCACCGTTTATAAACCGAACCGATATTGACCTGGGTAAACCCGCCCCTAAACCGACCCATTTCAAACCAAACCGGTTTGATCCAAACCGTTTGTAAACCGAACTGACATTGACCCGGGTAAACCCGCCGCCTAAATCGACCCGTATCAAACCGAACCGACATGATCCGAATTGTTTATAAACCGATCCGCTTATGACCCAAACCGAATTTAAACCGCAAAGAAATAAACCGAAACCAAACCGAGTCGTGACTAACCCAAACCGATCCGACAGCTAAACTAAACCGTTTCATTCCGAACCGCTCCAAACCGAAACCGACTCAAACCGAGGTCAAACCGAACTGCCAGACCGAAGTCCCACCCCTAGGTGCATCTGCTGTAGAGCCGCAAAAAATTTATCCTTTGAGTATGGTCGAAGCAACTCAGCATTATCATCAGGGGCGGATCTAGGGGGGTTCATTGAACCCACAGATTTTTTGGAAAAAAATTATAAGTTTTAATTTTTTTTTAAAAAAAAATAAAAGAAAAAGGTTTAAAAGAAATTTTTGTGAGAATAATTATCACACGGGTAAGTTTGGTGCATTGGTAATTCTCTAAATAATAGAGCAGCGCGCCCCTTTAATACCTTAGGTCTTAGGTTCGACTCCTACTGCCCTCTTTTTTTGTACTATTTTTGTACTTTTTTTTTTTTTTTTTTTTACTCCTTACATTCAGATTTCAATATTTCATATTTCAGAAATCAAACATCAGACATTTTTCGGTTTTTCCCCAAATTCCCAAACACCAAAACCCTAACCTTGACGGCTTGACACCCTATGACCCTAGCCAGTAGCCACTAGCCGCCGCGGCACCGCACACTGAGACACCGACCGACGACCGGAGACACGGACGACTGGACGAGGGACGACTGTTCTGTCTTCTGAGTTCAGATTTCGAGTTCTTCTACAATTGTGAGTCCTCTTAATCTCTTGTTCTTCTACTCCTATTAATTCTTAATCTTGGTTTGCTTGTTTTATTTTTTAAATTGGTTTATGATTTTGATATATTGTTGAATTCTTGAATTGTTGAGAAATTGAATTGTAGAAACTTAGAAGTTAGAAACTCAGAATTATAAAATTTTACTTGTTCTGTTAATTGAAATTTGATAATTAGAAGAAGTTTATATTGTCAAATTTGTGTTTATTGGGGACTTGTGATTTTAATTGATAATTAATTGTGTATTTTGTGTATTATTGTAGATTGTAGAGCTTTTGTTACTGATAAGTCTATTTTATATATATTTTTATTCCCCATCCCACAGTTATATTTGTGCTTATTTGAGCTCTGCGAAGCTATTTTTATTACTAATATACGGTTTCTAGTGTTTTTGTAGAGTTGGTATTATTTTGTAGGAATTTGCAGATTTACGATAATTCCTGAGCTTATTGAGGCACTACAAAGACAATGGAGTCGGATCGTATTTTATGACCAAATATTTTAAGCCCAAGGCCGAATTAGATTAATTAATCCAGTGGTTAAGGGCTCGATATGTGAAGAGGTCCATCATCTTACAAGTTATTTTATTACGGCCCAAACAAGGAAGAAAATTGGGTCCAAGCTTGAGGAGCCCAATCCCAAAAGAGCAGCTCAAGAAGCCACGAGATTGATTGCTGGGCGTAATGTCTGGCGGGCCCAATCTATCAAGAATCATTTTCGGCCACGGAATGCGCATGATTGCTTAGCTGATTTTGGGACTTTGATTCCTAGATTAATTTTGGCAATTTTATCATAGTTTGAGACTTTGAGTTAGGGACTTGTTATTCATCGCCCGCAAATCTCTACATAAAGCCCACATTTTATAAGTTTTTGACAAATTTGCCCTTTTTATAATTTTAACGGAAGATAAATTTTTCCCACTAAAAAAATGTGGAGCAGCACCGGATCGCCGAGGATCACCGGAGAATCGCCGTCGTCATCGGAAAACGAGGTTCGTAACGCATCGTAAGGACGAAATGGTGGCTGGCGCCTAGCCAAAAGGCCATGCCGTGGTTGTGGCGCCTAGCCAGGACGCCGCCACCGTGGTCACGGCGCCTGGTGGAGAAGCCTCGACCATAGTAGTGGCGCGTGGCCAGGACGCCGCAGCCACGACCAAGGCGCCTGGCCACCACGCCGCCACCATGGCGGCGGCGTCCTGACCAGGCGCCCCGGCCGTGGCTCCGGCGTCCTGGCCAGGCGCCAGTAGGGGAATATTTTTTTTTTTATTTTTTTTTTTATTTTTTAATTTAATCCCCTTTTTTTTTTTTTTGTTTGTTTTTGTTAATTTAATCTTAATGTAATTATATTTATACGTTATATGTTATTGTTACAGGATTATGGTGGAGACGGAAATGATTACAGTGGGATTTTTGTACATGATGGCCTGTTCGAAGATGCTCAACAAGCGATTGATTGGGCAAAACAGGTTGCAATTAGATCAGGCTTTTGTTTAGTAGTAGCAACTCATAAATCTCAACGGGATGGTAGAATGGATCGCATTTTGAGATGCGACCGTTATCGCAAAAGAGAAGAACGAGATTTCAGTAAAGCGATTCGGTTTGACTCAAAGCGGAAAGGTTGTGGGTGTCAGTTCCGAGTTAAGGTTCGACAACATCAAAGGCGTGACGGTTGGGAAGTGAAGGGTTACGGCAAATGGGGATATCACAACCATGAGCTGATAGCATACAAAGTGGGGCATCGGCAGTTAAGCGGCCTAAGTCCAGCTGCGAAACTAGTTGTAAAAGAAATGAGTGATGCTCAAGTGAAGCCCGCTAAAATATTAGCGTCTGTGTTAGAGAAATTCCCCGAAGACCAGCCAAACCGAAGACACATCTACAACGTCAGACAGAAATTGAGGTTTGAACGGTCAGAGGGAAGGAACCCTATACAGCAGCTTCTGCACCAGGCACAAGCACGTGGTTACCTTTACTGGTTTGAATCTGACGAAGACACATCGGAGGTAACTCATTTGTTCCTTGTCCATCCTGATTGTGCTGATATGATTTCGTCTTGGCCATCTGTGATTTTGATCGATTCAACGTACAAGACAAACAAGTACAAGTTCCCACTGGTTGAGATGGTTGGGATGGCTCCAACGAACCAGAACTTTCTGATTGGTTATGCAGTCATGAAGGATGAGACGGCTGCGAGTTACCGTTGGGTGTTGGAAAAGTTGAGAAACTACATCGGCCCAAATGTACAGCCATCGGCCATCGTAAGTGATTGTGAGGGAGGTCTTTTTGCCCCTATAGCGGAGCTGTTTCCGGAGTCGAGCCATTTACTGT